AGCTGTCGGTGGCAATGAGGTCGGCATGGAGGAAGTGCAGGTGGGAGAAGCCAGGAAAAGAGAACTTGAACACAAACTGAGGCTAATAACGTGTTTAGGAGTGGGGAGAGGGAGGAGTGGAGGAGATTTCCCAAAATCATCTGTTATAACCTGTGAAAGTCACCATAGGTAGGTCATCATACCAGTTTACCCTCAGGTACAAATACTTCATTTCTCTTGAGTGTAGTGTTAGGTTAAAAAGATCATTAATGTTTGGATATGATTTTGCAATTTTTAAAATTAATGAACTCCTGGAGTACAAGTAAAGTTGGTACAAGTGCATTTTTTTTTCTTTGAAGGCCCGAACTTGCTCAATACTTCAACCAGTGCCTCATTCCTCTGCCATTCCGTATTTCACTGTTGAAGATGTATAGTTTCACCTAGGAAGGACTCTTTCTTTTTTTTTCCTTTTTTTTTCTTCTCCCCTTCATTTATGTTAATAAAGATAATACTTCTACATAAGGATTGCTGTCTCAAGTGACTCTGAAATAATTATTCCACTTGGGGAACACTTACCTTGTAAAATAGTACACTGTGGAAGGAACAATACTGAAACTGCAGTAGTTCTTGCTTTCTTGCTAGTGGTTACTGAGATTCTCTACAGTGAGTATAAAGCTGTCTGTGAGCATTCATATTGGAAATTCTGATTAGTCTTCAGAAACTTAGCAGTAAAGATTTAACATTCTTTTCTACTTAATAAAAGTTTTTATTAAATATTTCTTAGAGAAGTTATTCCTTATCACACTGAAGAATATCCGATGAAACTAGTGTTATGTGCCTGCTAATTCTGAGAAGATATGCTTGGGTATCTTTAGCTAAAGCACTTAGGTTTGTAAAGGTTGGTGAATATTTGTTATCTTCATGTGTCTAAATAAAAACGACTTACTTTGAAGTACGGATCTGAACTTTTATCTCTACATCTCACAAACATGTTTTTAAAAACATTATTTGCTATAAATGGAGGGTTTTTTAAAGCAGCTTTATGAGAGGCATCTGTGTTGGTTTTGCAACTTGAGTGATTGAATTTCTATTTTTGGTGTTCAAGTGATCTTGTTTATTTGCAGTTCACTAGTTTCAAAACTTCATGCAGGCTTACTAATGTTAAGAGTCGAGTTGGTCTTTTTTGATTCATTTGTATCTGGTCTTTACAGACATAATTGCAGAAGCTATAGCTTGGATCCCAAACCATCCAAGTTTGTCTGACACATGGGCTTCTATATTAAATGGAGTGGGCTTCGGTTTGGGGGGTACTGGGAGTCTGCATTTTTAGGGAGATAGTCATCCAAAAATAACATCCAAAGAAATAATATTCACTGCCTACTATAAGCAGTGGTTGATCAGAATCAACTATGCAAGTGTTTCTATCTGCTTTCGTAGAAAGTGTTTTCTTCAGATTGTTTTATTTCATGTGAGGTTCAATGTTGCCATTTCAAAATCTGACTCTACTGAAGATTTCCACCTGGTTTTGGAAGTATGTGTATTCTTCAGTGTATCCTGAAGTGCATCTTCAGTTTTCTCAAAATGGGCAGTACCAGTGTGAGAGCTGCACTATGTGTCTGCTTAGCTCAATCTCCAATTTTCAAGTGACCAGTCGGAAACATGGTATGAATGAGTCTGCTGCAGAGCGATGCTTCACCTGGTGCAGTCTTTTATTTACCAGCAAGGTACAGAGTCAGTGGAGTCTTCGAGTCAGAGTCATCTTTTTTAATAGCCACTAGTAGCCATGTCTTACATGAATTTGTCTAATGTCATTTTGAGTCTGTTTATACTTCTGATTTTTGCAATATCCTATGACAATTTCTACAATAAGACAACATTTTTTTCTTCTCTCTCTTCTCCCCACTCAGGCCTAATATGTGATGATTTTGTTGGGTGTCCCAGTTCTTAGATTTTGAGGAATAGCAGATATTCATTCTTTGCGAGTTTTCTGTGGGCTTTTTGTGATTACTGTTTTGTTTTTTTTTATAGACCACTGTAGCACAGTCAAATTTCTTCCAGAGTAAAGAACCCTGATTTCTTCTTGGAACAGAGCTGCATTGTATCTCTTATAGTTCTTGTCTTTTTTATGTCTTCTCTAGTTTTGCTGTGTTCTTTTTTTAGATGGTACAACAATAATTTCCTTAATGCTGAGTTAGTTCATAGAGAATTGCAATAAAGGAATATTCTGGTGGACATCTACTTATTATTTCTTTGAATAGAAGGTGTGTGGTCTTTCAAGTCTTGGAGTCCTAAATGTGAAACTGATTTAGGTTTTGTGTGCATCTGATAACTCATAAGTGGTAAATACAGTGTTTAATATTTTAGAAAGTTAATTCTACTGTTAAGGTACTTTACTTTTGTGTATAAATGAGTAAATAGATAATTGATCTAGATATTCTGTTTTTAGGAATCTGAGAGACTGTGTGACAAGCTGCTTTTAAGACAAAGGATGAACTTATTGTCCCAGATGTCTGCTACTCCAATAGACTGCTTGTTTAAGGTTAATAACTTTTATGGCAGAATATGTATGTACTTAAGTATTGCACATTTATATCCCTTCCTTTCTATGGTATTCTGAAATGTAATGCAGTGTTAATTACATCAGTACTGCAAAATGTATTCTAGTAGGTGTTTAAAGTGTGTTTTGAGTATAATGCATTTCTATGCCAAAACGTTACCAACTTAGTATACTCTCACAGATTTCAGCACATATTATAAGAAACAGAAGCAAATGGGGATGAAATGCTACTCCTGTTGGTATTGATTGGCCCGTTTAATGCACAGATGTGATATTACTGTCTGATTGTCTCTCACAGCTTTTAGTGCTTGAAACTGAAAGAGTTTTCTGAAATACTTTAAATGTGGTCACCTGACAGCTACTCTATATTATATTTTAATCTTATATTGTCATTCTAAAAAAATTTTGCCTATACAAGGACACAAAGCAGAGCTTCTAATTACATGTGTTCACAGCTTATGGCTAAAGACTTAGTAATTTTATAGAAATGTTTTTGCACAGAGGGAGCTCAATTTCGTGACTGAATCTAAAGAGAATAATAGGAATTGTTTTATTTTTTTATAGAAAGTGAAGTAAGCCAAGAACAGATTCTTTTTAATACTGAATGACCGTTAGGGGGTTTTGTGCTGTGACATTGTTCATTTCGGCTTTATAATCACACAGAATCACAGAACGTTAGGGA